AGCAGCAGAGAAGAAAGAAGCTGCTGTGGCAGGCGGGCTTGTTCGAAACAGGTGATCTGCATAGTTTCATTCACATTTATTATTTTTTATCATTAATATCATATAGCAAGACACACTATTGGTTAGTTACAATGCTAGGTTGGGTTAAAATAAAAATATAAACACACCGATAAAAACTGTTAACATCTACTGCTAAGAATATTAATGATAAAAAATAATAAATGTGAATGAAACTATGCAGATCACCTGTTTCGAACAACACCACCTGCCACAGCAGCTTCTTTCTTCTCTGCTGCTGAAAAGAGGAAATTTTAACATACAACGCCTGCTATATCACCTCTGCTTTCCTCTGCTCTCAAAGCTGTTATGGTATGATAAGGGGGGGGCGCAGGGCACGTCGATCGTCGTCGCGCGCGTTAAGAGAGGCTTTGTTTATACGGCGTGTTATATATTCCCTCGCTCGAAGGCGAAACTTTCGGGAGAAAGTGCCTGGGAAATTTCGGAAATGTGGTAGGAAGTTGGGATAATCTAGGACAGCAAAGTGGTGGGCTCGGGGATGGAGGGATGGGGAAGGGAAAAGGGGTTGCAGGGTTGCATCGGAGGACGGAACTGGGGAAAGGTCGTATTTTCCCGAAAACTCTCTCCAGCGGCAGAATGTGCCTTGATGATAACGGCTGTTCAACGCCGCAACCCGCGCTTTGAAAGTTACATTAGGAGTGCTGAGTTATGGCCAAAAGTGAGACCCAGGCGAGACTCGCACCCGCATTCCCCGCTGAACGGGCGAGTACGGCGAGTACGCTATCCATAGCCAAGGGACCCTCTCAAGTCTATGCTTTTTGTGACCACAAAAGTCCAGCTCGGCCAGCGTTAAACGTGTGAGCATTCATTTATATATTCATTTGTTAGCACATAGTATTGTAAGGCTAACGCACAAAAAGCCAATGAGGTGAGAGGGTAAGAGCGGCCCGGTGGTGTAATGGATAGCGCACCCGGCCGGGTTCGAACCAGCCCAGGGTCTGACTTTTGCACACAAGTCAGCATTCTTGTGATAACTTCTACCCTTCTTCCTCTTGCCTTTTGTTCCACACCATCTCTCCCCGGCTTACCCGCCTCTCTTCTTGTGGGCAGAATTCATGCTTCGAGAATGTGGAGAAAATGGAAGAAAGAATACGGATACGAAGATTAAAAAATATGGAAGAAGTGGCGACAAAAGGAGCATTTACGCCAACCGTCGGAATCGCGAATGCGTCATAGACTATGTCACTTTGGTCCTTTACCGCGGGATCTCCCATTTCGCGTTTCTACAGAATGGCGGATTCTACAGGTCGCTGAGTGCAATTTCCTTCTCGCCGATTCTCGCACACTCCCGAGAATGAATGCCGCCGCCTCGATATTCCCCTGATTCTCCTTTTCTAATAGCTGCATGAAACACACCTCGCATCGCCGGAGGCTTGTATGTCCTTCTCGGTTCGTTTCGTGTGAGAATTCGTGTGGTACGCGATGACAGCGGCACTGCTTCCGATGCATTTGGCTCTCTTCTTGGTCGTTCAATTGTGACACGTCCCATTAAACGACTGCCTCGATTTTCCTTGTGAACATCATCACCACCACTATAGCCGGCACTGGATTTGATAATCTGTGGCATTCCTATAATACGATTGAATGAAGAAACCGCTGTTTATACAGAAACCGCTGCTCATAAAACCTTCTGAGCAA